GTTCTCAAAACTCTGGCCATTTGATAATACCTAGAATATCAAAATCAACTGCGGGCAGCAGATCCTTTCCTATTTAGCGCCCAAACTCTGGGCCAAACCTAACATTGTTCGGGAGGCAGACACACTCTGTCAGTTTAAATCTAGATTAAAGATCCATCTCTTTAACCTGGCTTACACATAACACACTAATGCATTTCTAATATTCAAATCCGTTAAAGGATTGTTAGGCTGCATCAATTAGGTCAACCGGAACCGGGAACACTTCCCATAACACCCGATGTACTTGTTACATAGTAAGAAGAATGGCATTTTTTTTGGCATGGTTTTTTTTTCTTATTCCGAGGTCACCATAGCCACCAGATCCAGTCTGTATCCAGATCAGATGGTCACTGCAGTCACCCGGATCCAGTCCATATCCAGCCCAGATGGTGGATCAGCACCAAGAGATGACCTCTACATCCCTGAATGTCAGCGGAGACCAGGATAACTAGATGAGCCCCAGAGACAGATCCCCAGTGAAGACCTCTTCACCTAGACAGCCATCGGGACAAGACCATGGGAACCAGATGAGTCCTCTGCACAATCTGACTTTGCTGCAGCATGGAACAACCTGCTGGTTCGTCTGGCCAGAGGAGAATTGGCCCCCGACTGAGCCTGGTTTCTCCTAAGGTTTTTTTCTCCATTCTGTTACCGATGGAGTTTTGGTTCCTTGCCGCTGTCGCCTCTGGCTTGGTCTGACAATACAGTAAAGGTTTATAAGAAGGGTCACATTCATTTACTAAGGCGACTGAGATCCTTTGGTGTATGTCAGGTACTGTTGAAGACCTTCTATGATTCTGTAGTATCATCTGTGATCTTGTATGCTGTCACCAGCTGGGGAGGGGGATTGTTGGAGAAGGAGAAGAACAAACTCAACAAGCTTATAAAGAAGGCAGGTTGTGTTGTGGGGTGTGTAACCCACCATAGACGAGATAGCAAAGGATAGAATGATTGATAAAATGGCAAATATGATGAATCATGATGTCATCCTCTTCATCAAACAGTTCGAGCTTGTGTGAGTTCTTTTAGCTCAAGATTAATTCAGCCTCGGTGTTACAAGGAACGAAATAGAAAGTAATTTTTACCAACACCTATTAGATTGTATAATCAATGTCATATTATAAACATACTATATATATATATATATATTAGGGCTGTCAGTTTAATGCATTAACTTAATTAGTTATGAAAAAATATCTCGATTAAAATATTTTAAAGAAGTTAACGCACAGGCCCCGCCCCCAGACCTGTATGTCATCTTACATTTCATATAGTTGACTGTTGACAAATATGATGCAGGTCAACAACTCCATAAGTGCAGTTATGCCCTAAAGTTCAAGATAGATATACAACAGTTCAGTAAATAAGAAATTAATATTTTGTTATATTTTAAACACAATATTGTATGTTTTTGCTCAGTTTTGCTAACAAAAATATTACCTAAAGCTACAGAAGAATTGTTGTGCGTCACCGAGCAACACAGTGGTGTTTAGTTTCTGAATGAATCCACGTTTTGAACGAATCGTGTAAACCAATGATTCAAAGACCCATTTATAGAGAAAGCCATTTACTTTATTTATGAATGAATCAGCCGTTTGAACGAATCGAATGAAAGACTCATAAAGACGTTTACCGCCACCTGCTGGCAGTTTTAGTTTCTTATTTAGAGTATTATTGTATTATTTCATTTAAAATAAAATAAAAATAAATAAAATACAATAAAATAAAATAAAAAATACAAAAAATGGGGGGAAAAACTTTAAAGGGATAGTTCTCCCAAAAAAATTTTTAATTATTCAATTCAATTTAAGTTTATTTATACAGCGCTTTTCACGATACAAATCATTGCAAAGCAACTTTATCAGTGGTGACTGTCAGTCAATGTATAAAAGAAAGTATTTTGAAGACTGCTGGTAACAAGCTGTTTTGGTTACCAATGACTTTCATTGCATGAACGAAAAAAAAACAAACTGAGATGTTTCTCAAATTATCTTCTTTTATGTTCCATAGTTTATGTTGGGCCGTTGTAGCCTAAATGTTTATACACATGTGTATATATATATATATATATATATATATATATATATATATAACAAAATAAAATATTAATACATTAAATGAAAAAAGTTTAAGATGAAGTACTAAAATTACTAAAACTTTTTTTTTTTAAGATTAGTTTTTTTTTTGTGATTTTGCCTTTATTTTAGAAAGGACAGTGTGACGACAGGAAGCGAAGTGAGAGAGAGAGAGGGGAGGGATCGGCAAAGGTCCATGAGGTGTTTATGTGCAATACATTTTATGTTGAATTAAATAAAATATTTCTTTCTAAAGCTACTATTTGTAATGGCTACTTAATACTTTCTCATTTAACACAAAAATAGCTTTAAATAATCTTTTGGGGGTATTTTCACAGCCAAATGAAATTTTTTCGATTAATTAATCAACACATCACGTAATTAATTAGATTAAAGATTTTAATCGACTGACACCCCTAATTAAAATGCAATTTATTCCTGTGATGTAAAGCTGAATTTTCAGCATCATTACTCCAGTCTTCAGTGTCACATGTATATATATATATATATATAACAAAATAAAATATTAATACATTAAATGAAAAAAGTTTAAGATGAAGTACTAAAATTACTAAAACTTTTTTTTTTTAAGATTAGTTTTTTTTTTGTGATTTTGCCTTTATTTTAGAAAGGACAGTGTGACGACAGGAAGCGAAGTGAGAGAGAGAGAGGGGAGGGATCGGCAAAGGTCCATGAGGCAGGATTCAATCTTGGGACGCCCGCAGCACAACGGCGCTATATGTCGGTGCACTGCCCACATCGGCGCCAACAACTACATACATTTTTTAATATTACTTTTTAATGTATGTATATATGTATTGAAATAAAGCTATTAGATGAAAATTAATTAACAAAAAATGTTGCTTTGGCAATTACCTGAAATATGTTTAAAATGAAGTACCAAAATTACTGAAACTGAAATAAAAATAAATGAAAGCTAAATAGAAATATATAAATAAAACTAATAAGAGCACTTAACAAGATTAAATTGAATAAAAGATAATTAAAATGAAATCTGAAGATATAAAAAAGAAAAGCTAATTCAAAATATGAATAAATAAAACCGCCTCAAGCAAGCATGTAAGTTTTTATGCACATTTTGGACATTTTATTCATATCTTTGGCTTTTCATCTACCATATTTTAATGCAACATCCCAAAATATCCTTACAAATATGTGAATGGAAACCCGTCTCACTGATCTGAGGAACCTGTGGCCGTTTCTGCAGATGCTTTCGGTATAGAAGGGGTACTTAAGTCTCGCATTGTGGAAAAATACACAAATTAAGAAACCAAACGTAATGAAAAACATTGAGCTGGTTGTGAATGAGCAGCTGCTTCAGGTGACGTGCTCAACAAAGGCTGTTAGAGGCAGATGAGCTGACGCGTGTTTGATGGGAATGTGTAATGGGAGTGTGTTTGTACCCTTAATGCATCTGTGTTTTGTCTCGTAGGCCATTACAAATACAATGATCTGACTGCTGCTGAATCGTCTGTGTGCAGACTTGAAGAAAATAATAGTGGACCATCTATTAACGGAGGCTGTGTGTGTGTGTGCGTGTGTGTGCTTGCGTGTGTTTGTGCATGCGTGCGTGTGTGTGTGTGTGTGTGCGTGTGTTTGTGCGTGTGTGTGTGTGTGTGTGTTTGTGTTTGTGTGTGCTGTCTGCGTCACTCATAGCACGTACCTATATCATACGCTATATCGAACATTTTTTCTATCATATGTAAAATATTTTTAAAATAGAAAAATTTAGATATAAAAAATTATGCCAGTAACTTTTTTTTTTTTTTTTTTTACATCCTGTGTGTGTTTATGTCTCACCCGTCCTTAGAGAGGTGAAATCTGAAGAAATCATTTGCCGCCAGCTTGATGGCTTTTTCAGGAGTGACGAGAGTTAAGTTCACCGCCGCACCTGTGAGAGAGACAAACATACATTCTCAGTGACATCATTCACAAATAAGCTCTTTGTTGACAATTAACCACATAAACGTACCTCTGTACATGCCGAAGTATCCTTCTGAGCGGATGGTCTTAATAAGGCAGTCTGACCTGCAGAGCACAGTACACACATCAAGCACAAGTAAATCTAATGAACTGAATCTTCTATATGATTCGAACCGTCTGTTTGAACGCTCACATGCTGGTATAGAGGCGCGATCCATTCTGCTGGTTCTGAAGGCGGGTTTTGGCCAGATCGATGGGAAACACGCAGGTAACGCCGATCAGTCCCGCCACACCGCCGTTTATTAGCTTGGCAGGCAAACTGGAGCGAAGCAGGAGAGGAGACGGCACATAAGTTGAAGTATCATTGGGTTTTAGGTGGTTGCTAGTGGTCAAAAGAGGTCAACACCAAGTCAAGTAGTGATACCTGATCTGTTTGTCAGCCATTTATCTGGCTCCCTGTACTTCTTCAGTGTGTGTGTTTAAGGCGTCGGAGAGTGCAGTCTTTGCAGATTTCTGTGTGTTTTTGGATTTGGATTTCAGTCGATTCACCGTCCTCTGGCTGATCTCTGAAAGACACACACACAGAGATTGAGAGGATATTAGTGTGTTTCTGATACAGGTGTCATCTATCACTGTTTGACTCCAGAAATTCTTCAAACTGGACTCGCTCTTTCCTTTCCTTCCCCATCTGTTCCTCTCACCTCATCTCTCTGTTAGGGCTGGGTATCGATTCAGATGTCCCGATTCGATTTCGATTAGCAAGCTCTCGATTCAATTCAATTCTCGATTTTTTGATTACATTCAGTGAATATAGGCCTAGTTTTAATACAAATGCTATTGATATTTCAATACAATTACAACAGTAAACATCAGTTTACAAATGGCAAATTAATAAAAAGAAATTAAGAACCACATGCCTGTATTTTAAACCTCTTTTTTTTGTATAGGGTCCTTTTTTAAACAATAATAGGGCCTTATAAAATGTTCTTAATTTTTCTGGTAATCAGATGAAGGCATAAAACATTAATTTAATTTATCGTAATCAAACGAAAATAACTGAAATAAGTTTAAATTATAATTATTGTTATTAATATAATGATTACAAAATATTAATTCTTAAGATAAATAAATACAGTAATAATAATTATTATAAATATAAAAATAATATATATTAATGTTAATATATATAAATATTAAATTAAAAACTAAAAAAATCCAAAACAAAAATTAGAAAAGCTTTAACAACTAACTTAATAATATAATAATAATAATAATAGGAATTAATAATATTAATATAAATACCAGATGAATAACTTAAACTAAAACAAAAATTAGAAAGCTTTGACAACTGAAAGAAGTTAAAGTATCAAGATAACTACAACTATCTCAAATAAAAATAAATTACAGCTATATAGAAATATTTTAAAAGAAAACCTCAAATTTAAATGAAAACTGGAAATATAAAAATAAAATATTCAAAATATATTAACTCAAAATATTAATAATCACTGTAATAGTATATAAATAATGCTAAAATAACACTGCCATGGCTCTGACATAGTATACTTTTTAAACAAAACACTATATTAACAGTGTTAATGCATAATAATTATAATTAATAATATTAAACATCTTCAAGAAACGACTAAAAACACATCTGTTCCATCTTTATTTGACCCTCTAACTCTAGCACTTTCTATTCTATTTTAATTCTACTTTATCTGTTTGTCTTCTTTTTATTAAAAAAATCTAACTCTAGCTTTCTATTTTTCTATTCTATCTACTTGTTTTTCTCTTTGTGTGTGTATGTGTGTATGTGCGTATATATATATATATTTTAAAAAAAATACCTTGCTACGTGTACTGCGTTAGGCTAACCGAGACTTGTCATTTGCACTTATATATTGTTGCTCTTTTGTTAGTTTTGATTGCTTCTATTGTCCTCATTTGTAAGTCGCTTGGATAAAAGCGTCTGCTAAATGACTAAATGTAAATCTAATAATATTAAACATAAATATTATATTAAATGAAAAAATTAGAAATGCTTTGACAACTAACAGAAATAAGTGTAAGTTATATATAGAGAATTTCATGCAAATGTACATTAAAGTGATAAATAATGACATTGTGTATGTTTTGTTGACACTGGTCCTGATGGAAAGCACTTTTACAATTTTAAAAGTTATCATCAAACTATTGCAGTCACTGAAATGTTGCTGAAACTTTCCCTAATGTGTAGAATTAAAGCTACAAGAATTATGCCATGATCTCCGACCCAAACCAGTTCTCCATATTCACGACTGAGAGTGTACAGCACAACTGTTTGTCAGCAGCTCTGATGGTCATGAAATCTTCATGATAAGCTGGCAGAAGGTCAGGAGCTGTTTCTGTGTGTTTCCTGCCAATCATATGTGGAATTTAAATGACCTGAAGACAGTCAGTCTTTCTCCCTCGTTCCTCCCCTCCATTCAGCCAATCAGCACGTCTCTCTCGCAATGTCCCGTCCCTCTCTTCCTCCTGCTCTCTACTCAGGCGTTTCCTGATTTCTGCTGACTGGACTGGACTCTGCTACCTTCAATTCTGCATTTTCACTGTCTGGTTTCCTCTTTTTCTTCACACTCGTGAGATAGCCTATAGCTTGTAAGATCAGAAATAACCAACACAAAGCAGTCTGGAGCAGCCCGAAATCTCAGCAGGACTATTGTTTTTCCATCCTACTCTCAGCATCTTTCTCTTCATCCGAGAGAATATCAGGTCTGTTTTGACTGGCACAGTGTTCCTACTATCAGTGAACAGTGCTATAACACAGATATGTAACTCATGAATGTCAAGCAACAATGACAAAAGAAAAAATCTTACAAAAACTTTTCTTTTGGATTGGAAAAAACACTTCTGGAGACTTCTGCTGAGATCTCCTGCTTCTCAGATGTTTCTCCGGAGAAAAGGACTCCATAATCTCACACGTGTCTCCTGTAGAGTTTCAGAAGAGATCCCAGTGTCTCGAATTGTGCTCAGATTTGCCAAAGTCTCAATCAAAAGTCAAAGATCTCAGTATGACCTCAGACATTTCTCATCAAATTCACTGAGGAAATGATCTGAGCAGCGATCCACATTTCAATTCTATTCATTGATAAGTAAAACTATACAACTGAAGCTAAAACTTTTAAAAATCAGCAATTGAAATGAAGCAGAAAAAAAATAAAATTTTAATATAAGATTTTTAAAAATATTTTACAAAATGTGGCAACTAACTGAAGTAAATAACTATAAGCTAGATAGAAATAATAAAAACCTAATAAAAATGTCAATTACAAAATTACTCAAACTTAAGCTAAAATTAAAATTAAAATAAAAAAATAAGCGAATTCAATATATTAACAAAATTGAAATAAAATTGAAATAATTGGTAATTGAAATAAAAAAAATAACTTAAAAAAAACTTTAAGAAACTTTAAAAATGTTAAGCTTTAAAAATGTGAAATGTTGCCTTGGCAACTAACTGAAATAAAGAAGTTTAAGCTTAAGTATCAAAATTACTCAAACTAAAAATAATAAACTGGAATAAAATAAAGTTAAATAATAAATAATAAAAATATTTTAAAAACAACATAAAATGAAAAAGTATGCAACAAAATTACTAAAATGTAAGGTAAAACTAAAATGAAAATTCATTTTAGGAGCTCATTCAAAATACTAATAAATAATAGAATACTATATTTAAAAATCAGTAATTTAAATAAAATACAATATAAATATTAGATTAAAAAACTTTAAAGCTTTAAGCTTTAAACATGAAAAAATTGAAATAAATTGAAAACTGAAATAAATGTTTAAGCTGAAGTACTAAAATTACTAAAACTAAAAATAATAACTTGAAATAAATTAAAGCTAAACAGAAACATAAAAAAACATAAAAATGACAAAAATGCAAAAATATAAAAATATAAAAAACCTAATTCAAAATATGAATAAATGCTATATTAGTATATAAATAACACTAACACTGCTATACTCTTTGTGCCTGCATGTCATCAACTTACATTAAGAAAGAAACATCTGAGAAAAAAAGATAATTCAAATAAAGTCTATCAAGTCTCCCGAGCAAAGAAAGAGCAACATCTGAGCGATGAAAGTTTCAATTTCAGTCCAGAGAGGAACAGAAGAAGCTGAGAATGATGTTTTTGTGTTAGCAGTGGTTTGGTCTTGTGACAAACGTACAAGACTGTCTAAATCAAATCAATCAGACTCACCAGTCTACCATAGACTTCAGACTAAACAGCATAACTGACCCAAACTGACCAACCAAACAGCAGTTATCCTGCTACTGTAAGTACAGCTTTCACGCTTTAGAGACGTTTAATGCCACCGAGGAGAAAATAATGTCAATGAGCACCCAGAATGCACCGGAAAATACACGTGTGCACTTTAAAACCAACGATGAAGCACTCTGACCCCATTTAAACTCCAGAGATCATCTGAGAGAACAGCATGATATCAACTATCCACAACAACTCCAGCCTGCCAATGCCGCTCTGATCTTCAGGCTCCTCAGCAGTATTTCTACACAACACGAGTCAGATAGTTTCCATGGAAACGGACTGAAAGTGGCTTTGAAAATCGTATGAATGAGAGCCAGAGATTTGATCTCAGGCCTGTGGTTTGTGTGTGTGTGTGAATGTAATTCACTGTGACTAATGAACGTACAGCGCTAATATGTTCATACACACGCCTGTGCTGACTAACAGTCAATAGTAGACATTCATCACTTATTTTGTCTTACATACGTAACTGTTCAAAAGTTTGGGGATGTTTTTAAATAAATGAATACTTTTATTCAGTTAGAATGCATTAAATTGATCAAAAGTGACAGTAAAAACATTAAAAAAAATTTACAAGAGATTTCTATTTCAAATAATTTCTTTTGAAACTAAACCTCAAAGGATCTAGAAAAGAATTCACAAAAATATTAAGCAGCACAACTGTTTTCAACATTGACAGGAATAGGCAATATTTCTTGAGCAGCAAATCAGCATATTAGAATGATTTCTGAAAGTGTTCTTATAATTGAAATACAGCAGAAATAAAATAAAATATGAATAAGAGATAAAAATATAAATTTTTTTTTACAAAACTAACTGAACTGACTGATGTAAATAAGTATAAGCTGAAGAACTAAAATTACTATAATAAACTGAAATAAAATTAAAAAGAAATAATAAAAAATGATAATTACAAAATTATTAAAACTTAAGATAAAATTACAATAAAAATAGAAAACAGACAAAAATAAAAGCTAATTCAATATATTAATAAGTAATACCATAATAATTGAAATGAGGCTGAAATAAAATAAAATATAAATATAAAATAAAGAAATTTGTAAATCTTAAAAACTACTTTTAAGAAACTTTAAAGTTTTAAAAATGTGAAATGTTGCAACTAACTGAAATAAACAATAAGCTCAAGTACTAAAATTACTAAAACTAAAAATAGTAATAAACTGAAATAAAATAAAGTTAAATAAAAATATAAAAAAACTAATAAATTGACAAAAGCATGTAACAAA